TAATATAATCATCGCCTTCTCGCTTTGCCACTGTTTTCATTGCAAAGGCATCGGAGCCTGCTGATGATTCGCTCAGACAAAATGAGCCGACCTATGTTCAAATATTTTTAACAATAAGCTAATGAAACTGGATAATTTTATTTCAGTACCGTCTGGGCATGAAGTTAGAAACAAAGAAAAGTAAGCTGCTTACACGAATATGAACTAAACGGGAGGATGAAGAGGATAAAAATGAGAATGAAAGAAATAAGAAAAGAAAGAGGGAAAAATGGTAAAGGGAGCTAAGAGATTTTGGTCCAAAACATCAAAATCAGGGTTGCAACTGGACTTCGTCAGCATGACGGTTACGGCTCTAATTTAGAAGTGGAGAAAGAGATGGTAGAGAACGGCAGGGAGAGAAAAAAGGAGGTAGGGGATTGGGGAAAAAGAACAAAGAATGAAAACACGTGACAGCATAATTGGAGCATTGGAAAGAAATGTCTCTAAAAAGAGGGATGAATAAAAGTTGAAAAGACTTGAAAATTTTTCTGACAAAAAACCAGAAAGTTTTTCGTGCTATCATATCTACAGACAAGAAACCGTAGCTTCGGTAGTGTTAGTGCAGATACTGAGCATGATTTATGTAGAAGGTACGATAGATCCTGACAGAACTAGGATAAAAATGGCCTGACCAAGATGCATTCAGAGTATCGTTATATACAGAGGTTTTTATACACAGAGGTTTTTTACTAACAGGCTGAGTAATCACAGTGATAAATTTATTTTGGAAAGTACCCAGTCATCATGCGTATGCTTTAGATATTTCTCCTTCTGCATTTCGCTCCCATTTTTGAGTAACAAAGGCACAATCAACGTATTTTGTACATCGCACATTACCGCCACTGCAGGATCAACCTGAAATCAGTCGACACATACTCATAACTTGTCCTTCAACTATATGTAGTTTAGGGCATTCTTGGTAGCTTTAACTTGTGCTGCTCTACCTAATTAATTAGTCTACTGGGTGATCTAGACAACCGTTTCGTCACCCGAGACGATTAATATCTGAACAATATCAGAAATAGGGATAGATAGCGGAGTAAAAGGCAGATACACAGTAGATGTGATTTGGGACTTGAATACAAGGGCATTTGGTGTAGAGGAAAACATGTCGCGCACAGATGCGAAGAGGAGTAGTTCGGTTCTCTTTCCACCCACGCCCATTTGCAAAAGAACCTTAACCACGAAAAACCAATCCAAAAGTCAAAATACGTAGAAATGGGCATTTTCCCTTACTTCTCTTGCATTAGCTGATGCTTAACGTAAAGCTAACCTTAGCTAGTTCCTCAACAATGATGACAACATCGAACAAAGATGCACCAGGACCACCGTACTGCTCGGGCACTTCGACACCCATGAAACCATTTGCAAAAAGACCCTTGAGGACATTTTCATCCAGTTGGCTACGTTCATCCATCCCACGCACAGCTGGTTTCAGTACATTCTTTGCAAATTGCCTAGCTAAAAAACATTTGGCAAGCCGTTAGAAT